CCAAAGGTAGAAAACGATTGTCATGGCTTCTTCGGCGACTATCAGGTTGCTGCAATTTTGAATACTATGTTTTGTGTTGGAAAGTTTTCAAGTTTTAAGATGCATAATGAATCTGCAAGTTTCTCTTTGTTGAATCTTACTTGGTATTCTTCTGATCTCTTGAAGACTCTGTTGTATGTTTCCTGTTAATTATGTGTTTTTCTTGTAAAGGTTTATACGTTCTGAGGAAGATGATTTGAATCCTTCTTGGGAGCAAAGACTGGTGAAGAGATATTATGATAAGCTTTTTAAGGAATATCCTTTAAAACATAGTGATGCTTCGGATACATTAACACCCATTAGATAGCTTTTAGGGCAGTTTTGCTTATTATGAAGCCGGAGAACATAAACAAGCCCTTGTTAAACTCGTAGCTTGCGAGTTGTTTGACCATACTTGTATCCTTGACTATATTGTTTCTCTGCTTTTGTATAACACATGCTTCCTCTTTTCCTTTTCTTTATATGTATAACATTTTTGGCACTAGATGTGCAGAGAAGCTTTACTACAAAAAAAAGGAAGGAGGAAGAACGATCGGACAGTAAAGAGAAGAAAAAGCAGAAACGAAAACGGTATGGATAATGAGATTAGCGTCACGTTACAACTAAGGGTCATGGTTTTTCTATTTTAGTATTACATTAAGCTAAAATACACTGGTTTCGAATTTCAGGAATCGATCATCTAGTGAAGAAGGCGACACAGACGAAGAGGAGAGGAGAAAAGGTGTGGAATCTGCAAAAAGTTCAATTTATTGTAGATCTTATTCTATTAACGGGAAGCTAGGGAGTAGATTATTATGTTGTTCATTTTGGGTCGAGTATATATCATAATGGCAAAGTCTTCTTCAACTTGGCAAAGTCTTCTTCAGATTACCACGACACAGAATCAAGACAAGATCAACCTTTTCATGATGAGATACCTATTCCAACTATCGGCTTATCATATTTGGCGGGAGCGCAATGGTCGCCGGCATGGCGAARAACCAACCCCTTCSACAACTRTAKCCAAGAACATTGACAAGSATATGCGTAATCGATTAAGTTCGATCCGTATAGCAGGAGATAAGGCTTACGACGAGAGCCTTAGCAAGTGGTTTCAATTACAGCTACCGGTTAACCATTAGCTAGTTCAAA